CATTTGTCTCGTCGTGAGGTTCTTTAGCAATGGTGATCTTGGAGCGCGAGAGGCGCCTGATCTCATTGATTTTGGAACCACCACGGCCGATGATGCAGCCAATCATATCACGTGGTATGGAAATAGTTTGCGTGAAAAGATTGTCCGTTTTGTCCGTCGTTGGCGATGAAGGGGTGGGGTCAGGTGCGTCTGTGTTCGAGCCGCCACTCATGCGCTTGCCTTTCCGCTTGCCCTTTTTGCGTCTGCTTCTGTCGTGCTTGCCCTTCTCGCGTCTATCATCACGTCCAGCGCTCGACGAACCGCAGCGAGAACCCTCGCTCTCGCTCTGGGGAGGCTCATCCGTTGCGACTGGATTGTAGAGGATGGTATCGAGGCCCCTCTTCCAGTCCTCTAATAAAAGTTTGCCCATTTCCTCAATAGCGCGGCCGATAGACTCGGGAGAACCTTGGACGTCGACAGGACGCTCGGTTGACTGGGGAAGCATCTGCTTGAGAGCGACTAGATGCGCGCCAGAGCCATCCTGTATTTCATTCATTCTGCGACCCCTATGGCCTATGATGGCACCCATGAGGTTGTGTGAAATTAAGAGACGCAAGGAAGCGTGGAAGTTGGTGGTGTCGGAGACGGTACTAGACGACGGGGATGTTTGGACAAGCCAAGCGGCGATGAGCATATATGCCTTTTGCAAAGGGGTCAGATTACAATATGACATCTCAATGGCTTGTATGTGCGTACTTCTGCAACATTTTCCACTGAGCCTTCGATAGTTAGGACTCGTTCGTGGACGCGGGGTACCTTCTCGCTGATCTCCGCTCTGGCCCCAATTTGATCACAAAGATCGACAAGGTCTTGTCCATCTCCTGTTGTGATTATCTCAGCATCCTTTGTGCTCAGGAGAGCGCGAAGAGTAAGGAGGTGAGGCCTGTGAGGTTCGGATGGGAAGTGAGATCGGGAGCGCTGAGGGTACCTAGAGGCTGGAAGAAAGTCAACGCCAGAATCGAAGGCAATGTGAGAGAATATGAAGACTTGCATGAACCAGACGTCATTAGTCTATGGATGAGAGGGCATGAAAGGGTGGAAGGCTGGCGAGACAGCAGCCCCGTGTTCCGCACGCACTATGCCGCCACGTTTAAGGGAAGCGTCCTAGGGTCTAGGTTACAGCCGTTCACACTGTAAAGAAAACACTTGGAGAGCTTGGCAGTCCTTTGCTCATACTGAGGTCATGTCTCTCATGATAGAACGGCACAATATTCATTCGTGTTACTGTAAGCGGGCATTTGTGTATTTTGGGGGCTTCGGACGTTCGGAAATGATATCTATTATACGATCTACAACAATCACGATTCTTGAGCCAGTACATTTTTTTTGGTCGGGGTTCGTAAAGGTTGGAGCTGTGGTATCGTTACTTGTACTTAATGCTGTTGGATAGGTGCGTTCGCCGCTGGTTTCGTGTCTTGTTGGCCGACTCCGAGTCGATTGTGCTAAGTTATCTCATTTGCTTTCCTTCTCTTCTCCACTTGTGCCTCAATTAGATAGAGCACCGTACAGCCCCTTGGTACCCGTTTATTATGAGGCTGAGGCTGCCTGAATTTTATGTGCCGATAGTATCGATAGGATGGGATAATAGTTTTATAGTTACGTTCGCTGACCCTCGGGCCAATTTTATGTGAAGGGGATCTTGGCTACCACCGTTGAGGAAAGTGGGATGAGGCTTGCCGCTGAAGCTGAAGCCATGACTATCCTTGGTTTAGCACCCTCCTCGACTCCAACACGTCCACCGCACTTCGACATTGAGCGTGTCATTCGACCGAACATCCTTTCTCTCCACCCATATCGCTGTGCAAGGGACGACTACACCTCAGGTATCCTGCTAGACGCTAATGAGAACGCTCTTGGCCACTCGATCTCACAACCCGAGAACCCATCTCCCTCCTCCAAATTGCAACTCAACGGGGGCTCCCTTCTTCATGCAGATTCTGAGCCTATCCTTAACCTTGATCTCCATCGCTACCCAGATCCGTCCCATCCCAACATAAAGAATCGCATTGCGGAATTGCGCGGCCTACCTTCTCCGAAACATGTCTTCCTCGGTGTCGGATCGGACGAGGTCATTGACCTCCTCATACGCGTCTGCGTTGCGCCAGAACGTGAGAGGATCCTTATCACTCCACCCACATACGGCATGTATGCAGTATGCGCGCAAGTCAATGACGTTGGCATCGTCAAGGTAAACCTTGAAGTATCCGCGGATAGTGGAGAAGGGGGAGAAAAGGGTCGTTTCAGTCTACGTGTGGATGAGGTATGTCTCACACCATTTACAGGGCAGAGCCCCCTTCTTCAATTGAACCATTTCCACAGGTAAAAAAGGCCGTCGATGCCGATCCATCTATTAAACTCATATTCTTGTGTTCTCCCGGAAACCCCTCCGGAACCCTCATCTCTTTGGTATCTCTTCGGGCGATACTTGATTATGAACCGTTCAAAGGCATCGTGGTCGTAGATGAAGCTTACATCGACTTCTCTGAACCAGGCAGTAGTGCCGTAACGCTTATCGCTGAATATGCGAACATTTGCGTCATGCAGACGCTGAGCAAAAGCTTTGGGCTCGCAGGGATCCGGTGCATCCTTTTTCTTTCTCCACACCCTCCTCACGCAGTCCTCACCGGCCCCACGCAGACTCGGCATAGCCCTCGCACAACCACCACTTATCCAGATCCTCACAAATACGAAAGCTCCATACAACATCTCCTCACCAGGGGCTCATCTCGCCCTGCGCGCTCTTTCTCCCGCGTCAATCAGCGCTATGCGCGAAAAAATTGAAACGCTCCGGGCATCCCGAGCTAAAGTACTCTCCGCCCTGCATAGCCTTCGAGATCTAGGTCTTGGGCATGCTATTGGCGCACAGGACGCGAACTTTATCTTAATCCCGGTACTCGCGCGGGGAAGTTCTCTCCCGGATAATGTACGTGCACAGCGTGTGTACAAGACTCTCGCGGAAGAAGAGGGTATAGTGGTGCGCTATCGTGGAAGTGAGGTTGGGTGCCCGGGGTGTCTGCGCATTACCATAGGAACAGAAGAGGAGATCGCGATTTCTTTGGAGAAACTGAAAAAGACGCTGGAGAAGGTTTAAGAGGCCGTCAAGTTAGAGGCAGCTAAAAGTAGGCCCCAGTGTTGGTAAAAATAGAAGCATTGGCAGATAGCCTGCGCATGCACTCTCCGGTCATGGCTATAGTACCATTTCGATGTATTGCATGGAATCTCGACCTACCTTAGTAATGAAAGGCGCTCGCGCTCCGATTTGCGGCGTGTCACGGGTCCCTTAGGTATGCCGAACAACACCAAGAAATGAGAACTGGCCCGGGGTTGTCTCACTTTCTCCTTACTCTCAACTCATCACCCGTCTAGTTGCTCTCATGAAGGTCCTACTCACAGGCGCTACAGGTGTTGGTCAGTCCTTTCTGGTCACTAACTTTGCTCCACCAAGGAAACTCATTACCATTACATAGCGGGCCTGGGGATCCTGCGCGTCCTTCTTGCCGACAATAGCGTCAGCCATGTCACCTACCTAGGGCGTCGTCCTCTTCCCCCATGGGTCGTCCTCCCTGGTGATACCCCCACCAACAATGGCGATGCTTCCCCCACGCACCCCAAGCTTTCCACGATTGAGCATAAGGACTTCTTATCCTTTCCGCCTGCGCTCCAACAGACGATTGCGGAGCATGATGCATGCATTTGGGCTTTGGGCATCTCGGCCGTAGGCCTGTCCGAAGATAAATATACCGAAATCACCGTCGGCTACTTCGACACGTTGCTCAACGCCCTTAAAGCGACGGGCGCCGGCACGGTGGAGAAACCGTTTCGGGTTGTATTCGTCAGCGGGATGGGCGCAGATTCGAAGGAGAAGAGCAGTACGCTGTTCAGTCGTGTAAAGGTGCGGGACAAAAGAGGCAGCTTGCATCGTCATCTCACGCGTCTTTTATTTTCAGGGCCGTGCGGAGAACAACTTGCTGAAGGCTGTGGAGGAATCCGGAGGTCGTCTCAAGGCGGCCATTATGCGACCAGGCTACTTTTACCCGTCTAAAGCATATCCACAAGATGCAGTCAACCAGCGCGGTCTCGGCCTACGGATTGCGGACAAGTTTATGGGCCCACCTCTCTCCGTATTTTATCCGCAGGGCGTAATTTCCGTGGAGCAAATAGGCCAATTCGCTCTTCATGTAGCACGCGGCAAGTGGGAGAACAAGGGTTCGATTTTCGAAAATGTGGAGATGAAGAAATACCTAAAGAGCCTGAGCTCGTCTAATCCTTCTCGCGAGGAATTGTAATGGCGTTGTCTTGCGATCTAAATTCAATTCTAGTGTTTTGTATAGAACTGCTCCGAGTGGTCGTTACCCTGCAGTAGAAATCTCTTGACAGATCTTCTGCTCATTTTATTCGCATCACTCGGTTTGAAATACGGGATGGACCATGCCAGTGTGTGTTACAAGCACTTGCGTAGGCAACCCCTCTCACGATGGTCCCTCTCACCAGCACAACATTTACCTTATTTATGGCAACGGGCCTCGACATCAGAATCGAAGCTGATTGTCGAGACTTCTCCTCGCCGACGACCTTCCGTGTCATGGAATTCATCGGACCCTGAGGCGTATGCACGCGTAATTGTCCACTGTTGTGGCCGTAATAATGAAGCAGACTGGTGAGACTATGCAGGCGAAGGATGACAGGTCCGAGTCCTGCGTGAAACACCCGGACCACCGGGCTGCTAGCCCACGTTATCTTCGCATCATGCAGCTGCGCAGTCGTCTGCGAGTGGTATTCCGCCTCTCCGCCCACGTGTGGATAAACATTGTGAAATTCTTGGGGTTCCTTTTCTAGCGCAACCAGCCGCGAACGCGATGCAGCATTGATTATGCTACTTGCTTCTGTCTCTCGATCGGGTGTTGGTAAAGAAACATGCTGCTTTGATAAACCTCTTACGTCCACTGTAAGAAGAAAACTATTGCCTCAGAAGCGGGGTCGAACCAGCAACCTTGGGAAAGCCAAATGATCTGTTACAGTCCCATGCTCTTCCAGTTGAGCTATTGGAGGCTGAGTATGGGTGGCAACAGGTAGGAGACAAAAGGATGCCAAAATCCATCTCTCTGTCTGATCAAGGTCGAAAACCCATATACAGGTTAAATAGATATCTGATAGCTCAGCATGATGTGTCGCGTAACTGCTCACTGGTAATTTTGATTACCTTCCTTCATGCGGTCGGTGTTAGTACCAAGTGAGAAACATGCCGCTCTAATACATCTCTCTCCTTTCGAGAGCGAAAAAGATTTCCTTCGGACTGGAATCGAACCAGCAACCTTGGGATATCACAGAGGCTTTGTTATAGTCCCATGCTCTTCCAGTTGAGCTACCGAAGGTTACCAACCTATTCAGTGGTATGGATGATGAACGAGATCTGTGTCATAAAAGATCGTCCACACACGCTAATTGGGAAGCTGCAAAAAATGAGATTCAGCGAAACTAAAACATATCACAATGTATTCGTTGAGTCTCATTGAAGCCAGCTCGGACGGGGAAGGGGTAGCAGACAAAAAGATGCCCAATTGCCCCGAGCAGTTCGCGCACGCACTGGCACGTGATGACGCGGGTAGTAGACGGTATTCTCTTCTATATTAAAGGAAGACAGGCAAAGATCAGCGATTGGACGACGGCTGGCGGAAGGCTGCTTGCGGAATACGGAAGGCTGATTGAGGACGAGGGCTAGACTGTGTGAGATGAGATAACATCACAAACACGACGAACTCCTAAAGGTCATCTCTAACGAGTTCGAAATTAGCGTACCGTACGAAGGGAAAACTAGAGGAGAACACAGAAATACCAACTTGAGTTCACTACCCTATCCCCGCGGCGGAGGCGAGTTGAGCGCTGTTTATACCACATCGTTGCTTAAAATTGGAACGCCCAGTTTTTCCAAGTAATCGTCAAAACCTCCAAAGCTCGTCGAGCAGACGACTGTGGCAACAAGGCGCAAGGCGCCAGTTGTCTGTCCTAAGTTAACATACACTGCCGGGTGGTCGGAGAGGCGACATAAGGCTGCTCATTGGAAATTGTGATGACACGACCATGACGGAGGGAACGAAGGTCTCGTCGGGATGTGCTCTTCACGATAGTTTGACCCAAGTTTGACCCGTAGTCGTGTGCTGGCACGCTTTGTCAGACCTTGGGCTCAAGCGAGTGTCTCTCTATCCGCCCAGATCCAACACCCAACCAAAGCAGCTGGGATATTTTTCTGACGGCCACACACATACTATATCGTACCAGGTCATCGTCACTACCATGACTTCGTCACTTTCAAATAACTCAACAACTACTGATTCAATCTCTACCAAATTTTGACTGTGTATTCAAGACAGTAACCAGTATATATTCCATAAGTTTTTGTTCAGCAAAGTGGCCAAAAACGAGTGATAGATTTCATGGTGTGTGTCACGTCTGCCGGTTGAGCGGCATGTCGGAGTTTAGAAAGCAAGGCCGTAAATGGACACATAGAGACGGTAACAACTATGAGCTTTGTCGTCCCTTCCTGTGGTTGCCTGGCCACAATTGTTTCTCCAAAATGTGAAAATAAAATAAGCACTGCCAATTGTCCAAGTTCCATACAAAAAATTCCTCTGCTGTTAGTTTTTAAAAATGACCATGGCAGGATTTGAACCCAGGACTCCTGAAATCGGGCCGGAGGCAAAAATAGTCACTGTAACCACTGAGCTATTCAGCCCTGCATGTATTTTTTATATTATCATATATATCGAGCCGACTAAACAGTGCAGTATATGGAAGGTCACTTGATTATCCAATGTCATTGCTACCGACGTAAACTAGTAAGCGAGCAAACAGAAAATGCGACCAAAAGACCGTCCCATCATCACATAAAAGCTCGCTTAGGAAGCGGACTTTGAATTATTTTGATCAGTGTTCGGCCCGCGTGTGACAGTGTGTGACAATGACGAAGTTGTCGTAGTGACGATGACCTGGTACGATATAGTAGGTCGAAGAGATGTCTCATAGTTCGGTCTGAATTGTCACGCTGCACCAATGCTCATCGTCAGTCTCAACTGTACCTGGCCAGGCCGGGCCGCCAACCACTCAATATAAAGAAGGCTCTAAGAAGAAGCACACCGCTGTTCATTTGGGTACAGACAAAAATATTTCCTTCGGACTGGAATCGAACCAGCAACCTTGGGATATCACAGATGCTCTGTTATAGTCCCATGCTCTTCCAGTTGAGCTACCAAAGGTTGACTGTCAATACAGTGGTATGAACGACAAACAAGGTGCATGTGGTAAAAATTACCTATTGTACCATTATGATGTTCTATATTCCATCCGCCAACAGCCAGGGATCGACGGGCAAACAGCTGGTGACCTGGACCGACTCGGATTTTCAGTCGAGCGCCTTACCATACTCGAGCATGACATGACATAGAAGCAGGTTAAAGTTGGCAACATGACCCGACTGTTTTGTACCTATTGTTTCTGAGGATCGCCCAAAGCTCCAAGATCGAACTCGGGGTTGGGATAGATGACCCAGAAAAACCACCGTTGGCATTTACAATGACTGGAATCAGTACTGTATTTCCTCAGCCCAAAGAAAGTACGGCCGGAGAAAGGGAATTCTTCAGAACCCCAACGATTGTACTTCTAAATTTCTATACTGGTACAACTTTCCATACCTTCGATAGACCATCATCCCCAACAGTTGAAAGTAAATCCTCGTATCCTCTTCTTGGACACCACACGATCGAGTTCACGTCGCTGACACCATGCGCGTGCTCAAGGCGTGCTATGAGGGTGTGTTTTGGAGGACTCCTTTCGGTAGAATCCAGGGGTTCCTGAGTCCAGAAGTGATCAAACCCTCCATGGCCATGTCATGCGCTGGTGCGGCGAAGTGGCGACTCACCTCGAACGCCCAAACGTTGATCCAGCCATCACTCCCCGTCGAAGCAACCCAGCCAAGTGACTCGCTGCTGCCTTCCGTCGTGCCTGGCTTTCCTGTTCCCCATGTAACCGAGTATACAGTTCGGACATGCTGCTCTAACACAAGAACGCATTCCCAATCGTGTTCTGCGATGCGCTTCCATATCCGGACTGTACAGTCGTCCGATGCAGACGCGAGGTACCGACCGTTTGGCGCCCATGCAAGAGACCATACGGTTGATGCGTGCCCTGTCAGTGTGGCAAAACAGAACCAATCTTCGCTTGGGTCGTCGAGGTAGAGCTTGATTGTATCATCATAAGAGGCGGAGGCTAGGATCTATGCTCCAAAGACTAGGGTCAGCAAGTTTCCGAGTTACTTAAAAAACAATCGACCTCTTCCCTAGGATGCCACGCAACGTATTTGACATCTTGGGTATGTTCCATAAGCACCCCCATGCACTCAAAGTCGGCATCCGGTTGGGCTAGCTCGCGAGTGAGTGAGCAACGCGGAGACGGTGAGATAAAGTTACGCACCTTCCCATATCCAGACAGTTTTGTCGCGACTACAACTCGCAAGGAAACTCCCGGTTGCAGACCAAGCAACGCTCTTGCATTCGGTTTCGTGGCCCTCAAGAATACTCACGCACTCCCATTCACCAGGTGCGCCTTCATCGTCTTCGTTCTGACCATCACGTTGCCAGATCCCGATGTTCGCATCGAAAGACGCGGTAGCGAGCGTAGACCCGGACGGCGACCAAGCAAGACCGCGCACGGTCTTGGTGTGTCCAGTGGGGATGGAGGTGTGAAACACGAAGCTCGGAGAAGGGCCAGCGGTGTAATTGTAGATACGGACAGACTTATCGGCGGAGCAAGTCGCTAGCAGGGGTTTAGCTGGATTCCATGAGACATGCCAGACGCGGTCATCATGTCCTAAGAGGGTTTAGTCCCGAGTATGCAGCAGGTCGATGATAGCCAAGCTCACCCGAGAGCTCAGCTAACAGCACAACTTTGTGCGAATATTCTACATGAACGTTTTTATCCTGCTGCATCGAAATGACCCTTGTGAATGTATGGGTGAAGGTGCATAGATTGAGTCGAGATGTCACGTCGATGAAAAGCCGATTAGAGGAACTCGGCCCGGCCCGGTCCGCTAATCAACCCCGTCCCGTGGTCAAACGCGCCTCTCCGGGTCGCCAAGCGTCGTACCGAGCCATGCAAACTAGCTTAATACAAAACGCGCACGGTGACCTCGTAACCGACGCCGCATACGACTTTTATGGCGTCCGTCTTGCAACGTGCTCCCTCGACCATCGCATAAAGATATGGCGGCTCGACGAGTCCGACGGTACCTGGACAGCCGTGGCCGATTGGAAGGTGCGTGGCTTCTCTGATATTTTCCCTGGTGACAGTTCATGTGACAGAGTAGGAGGGCAGGCTCATGATGCAGCGGTGACGAAACTTTCTTGGGCCCATCCGGAATTCGGTTCCGTCCTTGCAAGTTCGTCGTTTGACCGTACTGTGAAGGTCTGGGAGGAGACCCCTGCGGACAATACTGACCAACCACAGGCGAACGGAGCTTCAGCCGCAACCAGTGGACCTGGAACGCGTTGGGTAGAGCGTGCAGTATTAGTAGACGCCAAGGGAAGCGTGCGCGCCGTGGAGTTCGCGCCTCACCAGTTCGGGTTAAAACTGGTGCGCTCCTTCCGCCATGTCTGCCATTCCTTTTTTTTGTTGTTTACCCACGTCTGATAGGCTACGATTGCTTCGGACAATCATTTGCGCGTGTATGAGTGTCTCGAAGCCCCCGCTCTCACGAACTGGACGCTAGCAGAAGAAGCAGACCTCCCTGCACTTCCTTCCACATCGGCATCGGCATCGCATCCACATACCTTTGCAGCGCCCACTCCCACTCAGATCTCCGGGCCGCCTGCTGCGGATGCCTTGCTCGTCGCGAACGCATTGCAACAGCAACAGCAGCAACCGCTGATGCAGCGAGGTGCTGGTGGCCGCGAGGCAGACGGCGGGTGGTCGGTCTCTTGGTGTAAGGAGCGATATTGGGGCGAGGTGCTCGCAACCTGCAGCGGCATATCTGGCGTTGTAAAGGTTTGTCTTTCTCTTGCC